CCCACAGGGGCACATCCAGGCAGACAAGCAATGAACAAAAGTCCAGTAACCGTGTATCCTCTTTCATGAATGAAACTATTAATAGCATTCATGAAAGATGATTCAACAGCAGCGATGTGGTCTCCGAGTCACTTCCTGTACTCTTACAAACAAAACAAAGTGATGACATGATAACTCTAAAATCAAAAACGGTACAGTAGGTAACAACAATAATACACACAGATTTGTGACTTTAATAACACAGATTTTGTTTTAAATGCCCCTCCATGAATCAAAGAGAACAGAGTGGGTTTTTTCTACTAAAGTAACACTCAGTCAGGGCAAGCACAAACTCCTGACTAAACGATTAGGAAAATGACGATGCCAGTGTTGCTATATTTAACTTCTCTCCAGAAGGATGTGAAATGCGGCTGCTGAAGTCAGCCCGGCTACAATGAGGGCCGACAAACATCACGGCCTTTGCCAGCCGATGTCACACCCTCGACAGAGGGAGGGTAGAAACAGAAGAGGGGTTAAGTACATGGAGCAAGGGCACAGATGGCAACGGACAAATGTGAGACGTATCACTGGTGGTACAGAAGAATAGAGGGTTTGTAATCATCGTCACAAACCACAGCAATAAATCCTGTGTAACGCTAGAAAATGAGTTCAGAGTGTCAGGCTCCAAAGACAGTTGCTGTCTTTGACAGCTGGACTGTGTGCTACGAGAAGAGAAAATTCCTACACTCTCCTACTGAACACAACAACAAGATCCTAAACGGAGGGCTGGGATTAGCCTAAAAGCAGATCCATTCTGCTGATTGTTGGAACGTCAGCACTTGGCTGCAGTGCAAGAGTTTCAATATCAGAATGATGCTGCCAAACCTTTGACTAATAAATACAAAGGCAAATAAAGTGAGGGAGTAGATCACCCAAATTACAATTTTGCACTTTGGATTGAAAATAAGGAGGGATTCAAAATGACCGCCTAAAAAGCTCCATGCAGTAACACACACTCTGTGAAGGCCCTTAGTTATCCAGCCATGTGATATAGCAGTAGCAAAACAAGAACTGCAACTGGACTTACTTGGTAGTCTTTAAGACACTACACCACTTATTCAAGGCGCTGTCTCAGTTCTCTCCTTTTACAACCAGATATCATCCATGCGCAAGTATTTCTTTCCAAGCACCAGCTTTAATTGTCGAGCCAAAAACAGCACATTGACGCCGTTTACAATCGCCTTTGATGGATCTTTCAGCCAATTTAGAGCCGAGGGCTGTTCCCAGATGGCTGAGTTAAATGTGTAGGGCTGACACACCCCGTCCTGCCAGTGTTTCATCCACACAGTTACATGGGAAATGTGAGGCACACAAATAGACTGGGCACCCTTCCCAAGTGTGGTCAAGCTCATATGCACACACCCAACATAGTCTTCGAGAACATGGACAATTTTCCTCAGTCACAATCGCCTGCAGATGTGAGGCCAAACTGACTCATACACACCAAACAGTCTGTAACACCGGCCCTGTATTTCCTCTTCAGGCTGTGTGGATAAGATAAGCACGGCCATACTGACAGGTAAGGCGGAGGTGACAACAAATACTGTATGTGGAGTTTACATAACTCTGACATCATGTACAGCTGCAAGCTCAACGCCCTGGGCTGGGTTTAGGGCTATTATAAAATCTCAAAAAGCTAGGGTATACAGTGAATCATTACACAAATATTCAAATGCAACGATCCCTTGACAGCATCCCTAACCGTGAGCAGCTGATCTTTACAACTTTCTCCCTCTAGCGCGCTACTTTTCTCCAAATGAAAGGATATAGCTGTAGTAAAGGATGCGGCGGTTTAAAAAGCCGGTTCTAGCAGAGGTGTAAACACGTGAATCATTGCCAGCCGTCGTTTAAGAATGTCATTAGACAAGTTAGGCGCTGCTGAATGGGTTGGGTTAGGCCGTTTTTGCTACAGGTGAGCAGCCACACCTACAAGGGTTTGCCATTACTCAACACAAGCAGTGTTAAAGCATTATCCTGCAAATTGTACATAATCATACAGTACAAAGCAACTGTGAAATAACACCCTTTCCTCACACAAGCATGACGTAGAGTTATGGCCTTGAGGAAGACACGTTATCCCTCCTCGCTCCGAGGCCACTGTCATGCAGCTGACCTCCGACCTCCCCCCAAAAAAAGCATACAAATATGAAGAGAATTCCTTTGGGGGAATTAATGAGTCGTTGCACTGTTTCTGTTGTAATGGCAGAAGTACAACTTTTAAAATACTTTCTATTAACACATTTAGGAGGGTTGCACAGCGAAGGTGTCGTCATTAATACGCTCTGAAAACAGATACAGCTAATATAGAGAACAAAAACAAAGGGAAAACTAGTGGATCTGATAAGTAACTTGATCACTTTCACTGCAAAGGACAACAAGAAAAGGCACCTGGTGAAAACCGTGACGGTGCAGAAAGTGGGGAAACCTGTTCATTCACACAAAATATAAGCACACTCCCTTCCCCCCCTTCTTGACTGTCTGGTTTGCGTTTACAGAGATAACATCAGACATGTAATGCCTGTATTTAAAAGACCTACAGTGCTCTCACGTGTTTCTGCAGCACGAACAAGGGAAACATTTTACTTCAGCTGTTGTGAAGCATAGTACACATACCACACATGCACATTCATGGGCAATGTGACCACAACAATCAGGTTAATGACAGGGACAGTTAAAATGAATTACAGCTCTTTTCTTTCCCACATAGGAAGTGCAAACAACACTTTTTCCACTGCTGACACTATGGACAATACTTTGCCCCCAGAGTCCTGATATGGGTTTAATATTTCTGTCTTTTCCATCTTTTCCCAAACACGCACCATCTCTCCATCAAAGCAAACTTGACTTTGAGAACCGACAACAGTGATACGAGCGAAGGTCCACTGATGACTGTATTCACAACACTCTTCTTGTTTCAAGTCACAATATTTCTCAAGTTAAAATCGGGGTCTTTCTGATACTATCAGACAATCTTATTGTTAAAAGCGATCCCCACAATTGGGATCCCAGATGTACGTGTGCTGCAGCCCCAGATGGCTGGACAGGAAAAATCTGGTAATTCACTCAGAGCAATAAACAAGTTTACATAGACCACTGTTTTACATGGGCTCAGTCTCATTTCAGTGTTAAAACATCCACCAATCTTTCACAACATACTGTAACCCCCACTTACATGAAGACCGTGTAAGGACAACGTCTCTTGGAGGATCACTTATACCGACTCATGTGCAGCGAGTGAAATTCCACTTTGTGAATCAATCACTCATATGTGTCAAAGAAATGTGGCACACAGAGGGAGGGGTGGGCCTATTTAACAGAAGGTAAAACATTTACTAGAATTGTGCTGGCATCACAAAAGTGTCAACAAGAAAAAAAAAAAAAAGGTGAACTGTCACCAGAAGGGCAAACAATGAGGTTACACACAAGTGGCCTATTTACACTAGGCTGCATCCTTTGTAGAGACTGTAAGTGTGAGGGTGTTTATGTGTGGGTCATTTATGCGCCTGCATGTGTGCAGGGGAGATTTTAAAAGTGAGTGCAGGCTGTGATAGGTGTACTAAAAAAGGAACAAAACCTGGTTCTTGCTGTGACATTTGTCATATTCACAAATACAGAGTGATAGAAGAAAACATGTACCTCGTAACACATAAGTTAATGAAAACAGCACATATGCCGAGTTATTCAGTTAGCCACCTTAACTTTGCCTCTGAGTACTAGGTACTTTGACTAAACGCTATCTGGCCACCAATGAAAAGGTATTGAGGATTTCTCGGACCCACACAACGCCGTGAGGATGAATAGGCTACAGTGAAGGTGTAGCTAAAGCTAGCCGGGCTCACGACCAGACATGCAACTTTCATGGGCAGGAAACTCTCCCTGCTCAAACCCAGCGCCTCCTTCACAGAGGATCACGGCTATCACAGAAAGGAAAGCTCAGGACTACGGGTGGTATTCTAAGCAAACGCTATTGAGACAAATTCGAGCAGTTAAAGCAGTTGTTGGTCTAGAAGTTGCCAGGAAATTGGTACTCACTGTCGGTGCGCCTGAAATCCCAGACAGCGTCCAGCTCTCGGTCCTGCCTCCTCCACGTAGAGACAAAAGTAGACGGCGGGTGGAATGCTGCTGGCCCCGCCCTGTCGGTGACGTCACCTCCAGACGTCGAGATCCGGCCTATGAGCGCAATCAGTGCCAAAAACCACACGGTCATACGGCGCAGTGGTTCCCT